CTCCAGTTGGCCACGTGCGGTACCTGCAAGGAGTTAGCAGCCACAACAGTCCTAATGATCCAGTGGCATCACTGACTGTGCCTGTGCAACAGCTTAGAAGAGCTGCAAACTGTAGCTGGTCCCCATAAGCTGACTTTTGGGCATCCAGGAAGTGGAAATAGAGTTTCCGGGTATGGAAAAACATCTGTAGAGTTGTGCATCCAGAAACACAGAGACTCTAGAGTGTAGACTGAATATTGCAACAAAATACCATTGTACCAAGTCCGAGGGTAGAATTTGGCACTGCGGTATAGCCGCTTTTCCAAAAATTAATGTATTCCTTTCTAGGAGTTTCTTTTCCCAGACATCCTGCTGTTTCTAAACACTTTGTGCCCTTTGCATACTGTGGGTTAATGGCTGTAGCATATAGTGAACATTACACTTACCAACATTTCATCAATAAGTTTCTTCAGAATCTCAGCAACTTTTTTGCAGTTTCTGGAAGCGTTACTGTAGATGAACGTTGTCGCCCCCCGGTTCCAGTCCACAAGGATGACATTCATGTCATCTACAGAAAGCAGAAGATGTACCAACTCAGGGATCCAGACCGGGGTAGAGCCTGTGAGTCGGTATCCATGGATGATGAATGTAGTTTTCTTGGTCACATCTAGATACTTGGAGGCTGTTGAATTGAGCTCTTCAGCACAGCTTGGGTTCTGTCTGGTGTAGAGCAGCAGCTTCACTTTCAGGTGTGTCCCTATGAAAGCGTTGCCGATGCTGAGAGCTGTGAATGCAGGGCATGTCTCCCCAGGATCTGAAAAGAGCACAGCGTGGCAATCCTGAGGTTAGCACTGATGCGTTTGCTTTGACCTTTTCTACCTGCCAGCCCTGTACAGGCACAGGAACTTAAGTTGTGAGCTGTCTGAGCCAGGGCTGCTCCTTTCCTCTCCCTCATGTTCATGACTGGAGATACCCTGAAACTTAGATTTTCTTGCCGTGTTGGAATAAAGACAGCAAGTGTACCTTCTTGGAGCAGCATTCCCTGAAACAGCACAGTCCTGCTTCCACTAGCAGCTGGGAGATGCCATGGAGTGTCTCCAAAAATCCCACTAGTGTGAGTAAGGTATTAGAGACTGACAGCTAGGATGGCTGCTGTATTGGTTTGAGGGCACACACAGATGCTTTGGATAGGCTCTAGGGTAAAGAGATATCCTCGTGGATTATTTGTAACTCCAGTCTGGGGCTGACAAGCTGCAGAGGATCTTGCTGTTGTGAGGGGCAGCTCAAGGCTATGTTGGTAGTTGCAGATGCAGCCTGCTATTTCAGACTGCGAAACAGGACACCCTTTGACTGCATGAGATATGTTACTGATATTGCTTTATACACAGCTGAAGAGTAGCTGAATTTTATGTAAGTGCTGCTTTATGGGACAGTCTCTGCCATTTGAAAGCCTGTCTTTGTTCCTTGCTTTTCCAGCAGAACACCAGCTGAGCCTTCAGAGTCCAATGCAATCTCCAACAGGGCACTGGCAGGGGATGGAATAACTGTCTCCTGACAGACACTGCTTATGAAGGCCCTCCCAGGTTTTGTAGCCTCTTCCTGGCTCACAATCCTTTTCCCCAAATCCCCTTAATCTTATTGAAGAACCTTGTGGGAGAGAGTGTCTCTTTCACACACATGCCCTGGGCTGCAATAATTGTTCAGGCTCCAGTTGCTAGAGAAATCTTCCTGATCTTTGTTGCTTAAAGGCCTGTGCAGTAGGTAGAAGGGTTTAGAAAACCTGCAGCTGTAAGCTAATTGTGCTCTAGCAAATCTCTAAAACTCTGTTCATTTTAATTTCTAAATGATGAAACTCTCAGTTTTTACGAGCAACTTTCCCTTTCCTGCTCCAATGGAAATCAGCAGCATAAGAGTGATATAAATGCTATGTGCCCAGCACATAAAATAATCTGCTCAGTTCCCATAGTTCTGCTAATTACTCTGTAGAAGCCCCAAGAGCTCCAGAAATAAAAGTTAATAGGCTAAAAGGATGTTGCAGTTAAGTCCAACTGGATATTTTAAATTGCTACCATAAATTCAGAAATAAATTTTAACATTTGAAATCCAGGGAGTCCTTCCAGTATAAAGCCTATGGTGAACGGAACAGGAGCTGTGGAAAACGAGCCCGCAGCCAGGCCCAGCGAGCACTGGTTGAAATCAGTGGCCTTTGAATTGCGGGTGTTCTGCCTCTGTAATGCCTCAGCTGGGGCTCCCAGGGGCACTGTGGCTCTGAGCCCTTCTTGCAAGAGTAAAGATGACCTGGGTGACTCCTGACCAGCTTGCTCTCACCTCGTCCTTACAGTGCTGAGATGCTCCAGAGACACAGCGGCAAGGGTTCTCCTATGACGCTGCTCATGGGGACATCTCAAAGTAACTAGCAGAGAAAAGTTACCATTTTTTGCTGATATACATCAGCATTCACAGTGATACTCAATGACTGTCCTCTAGGTGCTACTGCAACATAAAAAAATACAATTATATTTATTTTTTTGCTAATAACTAGAAATTGTTTTAGTTATTGTATAGTACTATTGTGTAGTATTGTTAATCGTCTTTACCGCCACTGCAGCTGTAGTAATACAGGTAGAAATGCCAGGCAAGAAATATGGTGCAAGATTGCACTGATTGTTTAATTTGTTTCCATATCTCCTGCACTGTGCTGAGACTTGCCCAGAGGAGCACTATGTTTGTCACCAGAAGGGCAAAAACCTTCTGGTAAGGAAGAGCTTTTAAAGACCTGATTAGCATCTGCTAATACCTAACACAGGGACTGTTTAAAAAGCCTTGTTATATCTGCACCAAGTCTGTTAGATTTGTTCTATTTTGATTAACAAAATCAGATCAGTGCTAATAGTGGGGGAAAACCTGCCAGCTTCTCTTCTGGCAGGCTGGTGCATATCCCAGACTCATCCACCATGTGTTACAAAAGCTGACACATGAGGACAGCCAGTTATCCTGGCTTCGCTCTTCATTCTGATAAGCACATTGAATCCTACCCAAATGGCTGGAAGTGTCTTTGAAACTCCAGCATGATTTCTCAGATGGGGCAAGAGGCTTACTGAGATTAACTCTGCAAGCAGATATGCGAGGAGGAAACTTATATGCTGGCACTGTACTTAACCCATCTCCAACAGACCACTTCCCTCCAGGAAAGGTGAATAAATGTGGCAATTAACTGAGTGTCCCATTAACTCCTTTCCAGCCCTGTCTTGGCCATTAGCTTGCTGAACAGCCTCAGGCAATTAATTTTTCTCTCTCTGCTCGGTTTTCTGATATGTAAAATAGGATGGCAAACACCAGTTTCCTGGGCAAGGTGCTCTGACATCTCAGCACCTGTAGCAGGGGCCATACCAATCTGGACATCTTTTGTCTTGAGCTTGAGATCAGCCTCAGAGGTGCTATTGCAGCGGAAGGGGCATCTCCAGAATAACTTGGTTCTGAAGTTACATACATATGTATATATATCTATTCTGGAGTTATATACTCCCAGGTGGGAGTGTTGCAGTCGTGAGAATGGTCCCACACAGACTCTATGGTATTTACTACAGCCAGTGGCCTGCCTTTTCCTGATCTCTCTCATTCCTTTCTTAGACACGGTGTTTGGAGGCTTTTTCTTCCTTTTGCCCTGGATGTTCATCCTATGGACAGTAAGGTTTTGCAGTAGCGGCGTTTTGGGGCTGTGATCTTGAGGCTGTCTGCATGAATAGAATAGCAGCTGATTTTTTTAACTCCACCAGTCTGTCCTCTTGCGAAGCGAAGTTCCGACAGATATTCCCTTCAGTGGGTCAGTGACCGCTTGGTCCGTCTTGTGGTGGTCCTAGCTGTGGTCCTGGGGAGACTGTATTGCCACACAGAGCCCGCGAAAGGGGCTGCTCACCCACTCAGCACCCTGTGCTGACCTCAGGTAAGCGTGTTGCTGCTTCTGCGTCTGTCTGCGGTTTCACTGACACTCAAAACAGTCACCTTGCCTGGGCTTTTTTACACTGTGTTTCAACAGACCCATCTTCTGCATCAATAATTAGGCTGCAGCTTTAAGCGCACTTCGTTACCACACAGCAAATCTCTGCAGCACTAGTGAAGATTTCCATCACTTTTCCACAGAGAGAGCGTGCCCTCTACGTCTTCAACTGGTCTTCAGTAACTCACTGGTTTTCCTTGGTGCCTTTTCACACCATTCTCTTTTCCCACTTTTTATGACTATATTTCCTACGGCATATTTAACAAACTAAGCAAAATACAGCCCCAAGATTACTCCAGAGAACCTCATGAAATACAAGTTAGTATTTATAAGAATGCTGTTTTGGTTTGTTTTGTTTTAATCCTGTTTGTTTTCCCTACAAAGCAGAGAGCTATAACTTGACTTGCTCCCATGTGTATGCTAACACAAGGCAGTACATTTGTTTGTTGTTACACAGGTTGATTCTTGATAGGGCTGTGAGGATATCAAATGAAGCTTATTGTTCATAAATGGTAATTCATCCTTTGCGTTTGTCATATAAGGCACTGCTGAAAAGAAATCACTCTTCTCTGAAGATTTTGCACAACATTTTCAGTGTCAATGGATAGTACTTATATAAGAGAAATGTTTGCAAAGTGAGGAAAAGATAATAAAAATGACTTCTGGTTTTACATTTGGAACTCTTAGAGCTGCCTACATTCATGTAACCAGTATAATTTGCTTTGCCAAAATAAATAATGCTAGTGGAAAACGCTGTGCAGTATCTATAATGCAGAGGGTAGATATATTCATGTTTCTGCAAAGCACAGAAAGCATGTTATATTTGACAAAAACATTCAAAACAAATGGTCACTTTCTTACCTGTTTTCACCCTGTACAAAAGGTGGATGAACACAACACACAGCCTCAGCATATGGACTTCCACATGGAACTTCTACAGGTGAAAATTTTTAAGGATCCCACAATTTCTTTGGCATGTGTCTTCTGTCTCTGACAACAGTTTGCTCTCTTTTTTTTCTGCCAGTAACAGTAGGTGTGGCGAAAGGAGGAAGTTACCAGCCAAGAAATGAAGACCAGTCTTTAGTTATGCAACTAAAACTTCTTCTTAAAAAGGTGGGGCATCTTCTATTCTACCAGGTTTCCTCATTTTAAATATAGTTTGCCCTGGGGAATGACTAATCAAAGACACAAATGGTTTGGTATCACACCATAAGCAGCAATGTGGCTACACGTGTTGAAACAAAGGAAATTATTGCATGTCTGTTTGTCTTTCGGAAAGAATGTCAAAAGGCAGTGGAGGTTGTAGATGTCACCGCAAGCCCGATAAGCATCTGGGCAGGGCCAGCACTTGGTTTCTCAGGGCTCTACATCGGTAGTATTCATGAGGATCCCTGCTCTCCCACGGCCCTCCGGTGCTCCTGAGCGCCATGGCCCAGCGTCCCTTCTAACTTAGGACACCCTGTCACAGCATTACATGGTGACAGAGGGAAGGTACCAGTTCTGGTCAGTCTGGGTCTCCACTGGGCTGCCAAGCAACTGCTGTCTTGGATGACACTCGTACCTCTGGCATCCCCACCATGTTTTCTTGCAGACCTGCTGGAACCTCATGAATCCAGCTCTAATTCAAGTAAGAAAGACTTTTTTTTTTCCCATGGTGGACAGGAGGAAGAAGATGGCAGATGCCAAGACAACTGTCAGGGGCAAGGGAAAGGAAATCTGAAACTGGAGCTGGAAGATCAGGTGGCAGAATTGGGAAGATGAGTGGGGTGGGGAGTTTGTAAAGGGATGAGAGGCAAGGGAAAGAGAGAGCAGGGAGGGCTGCTGGATAGAAGCTGTGTGGTAGCTTTGTCTAATGTTTTCTTAGCAAATTCTTCTAGCCTAGGCTAGGGAACGGGAACATGGGGAGGATCAGAAACACCTCATTAAGCACAGGCTCTGTTTTTTTCCCCCTGGTGATGTTCCAATGAAGACCTGAACTATTACAGTTCCCAGCCACACGGCTGCTTCTTTGGTCCATGCTGTACATATTAAGGTTTCTGACTTTGCTAATTCTGGTGTTAATCCTTCACTCTGCCTGCTGGCTGTCTGCAGCTCCTTCATGTTCAGGCAAGCATGTGCTGCTTGTCTGGTGCAGGCACGAATTACACCTCAGACAGAGGCACACACTCAGCAACACACGACTTTTTCACAAGCACCTTGAGCTGTCCATCCTCATGCAGCTTAGCAATGACAGTCTCACAGGACATGTGCCATTCTGTGATTCCATTTGGTAATTACACAGGCAAAAGTTGGTTCTTATTATTTGGAGGAGGATAAACACTGAGCAAAGACACCAAAAAACTTCTGTGGAGTCTGGAAGCTGCAAGCTCCAGGAAAGTGCTTTGATGCTCTGGCAAAAGAGAATCCTTTGAAACACTGTTTTCCTTCCAGTTCCTTTCTCACCTCTACCAGTAATCCTAAACTCTGTCAAAATATTTTCTCCTTAGCAAGTTCTGCCAATGGCGTGAAGGAATCAGTCCAACACTGAAACATGCAAGATGAACAGAAGGCTTCTACCTATTGCAAAAGACATTTGAGAATCGGAGATAAAATGAGATAAAGAAATCAAGAGGGCCTTGCCTTACTTCTCAGCACAAAAAGAGGTAACAATTTATTGCCTGAAGCTAAGCCCCATTTGTTTCTTTTCCCCATCATTTCCTCAGATTTCCATTGCCCATCTGAGATAGCCACTTGGATAAGCTATCAGTCCAGCAGGGACTGGCAGGCTCTTCCTTGTAACTCTCAATCATCCCTCAAGTGACAATGACTTTGAGCAACCACTGTTTTAGCATAAATTAGACTGTTTACAGTACGTGTATTGGCTAACACACCCAGGGTGTCAGCACTGGAAACGCTGCCTGCCACTATGACATCCTGAGATGACGAGTTCAAATAACCACCTGTGTTTACAGATGACTTCCAGCTCTTGAATCCTGTTGATGAATCTCTCACGCCTGCCCTACACAACCTTCATCAGCCACACACTACTTAAAGATGGTAACAACTGAATTATGGCTGTTTGTTTTTTGTATACTGAACTCTAACCACAGAATACACAGGAATACTTCTTGGGACATAAGCCTTCAGAGTCAGAAATGGCCCCATTGTGAGCTTTGAAATCAATAACACGAGACAGTAAAAATTCTTTTATCACATGTAGAAAACATTTAAGATCAGAATTGGAACCAACTTAAGAACAATTTAACAAGATATGAAATAATTTTACATAAACATTCTCATATTAGCTCTGAGGTGTCAGATAGCCACTGTAATTTCACACTTATTATAGAAGCATTTTAAACTCTGGTCAGTGTGAGTAGAACCATTGTTGGAATCCAAGCCTTCTTCAGAAACGTTTCCTTCTTAGAGAAGTTTATGACAACGATGGTCAGCTGAAAAGTATTTTTTATATCGTATTCATGCATCGACTGCATGAAATCTCACTGATTCGCTAGTTTCCCGTGGGTGGAACATTTTCATGGAGATACTGGAGAGCCAAATCTGTCCACTTCATTTCTTGCTCTTTCACAGACTCGGTTGTGCCACCATTGTCTTGCTCTGGTTCAGGAAGCTCATTCTGAGAACAAAACAGAGGTACAATGTATTCCCCATGAAATACACTTCATGAAAGGAGCAGGCTACTAAGATTTTGTATGGGTAAATACAGAAATCCACAAATGAGACCAGAGGGTGCATCTGAACAATACGTACCATACATACTGGTCCACTTAAAAATATTACAAAGCCCAGTTATGAACAATGTTATTTTCACATGAATATGGTGCCTAATCTGAAAGGTAAATTGGTTTTGCAGGACCCTGGGGCCTTGCTATACGCTCAGATTGCACACGTAGTGAGGAAGGAGAGTATATAGCAAATGCAAAATAAGTAAGTAATAGTACGATGCAATTATTCTATTGCTTGTTTGCCATGTGTTTCTTCTGCTATTGCCAAGAATACAGATACTGCATTTATTACAGAGGTTATTAAGACAACTCATTCAGTAATGTTACTTTCCTATGGCAGGTGAGAAATCCTTCCTCTTTCTACATGCTGAACTCAGGTGTGGCTATGCTGTATCAACAGTAGAAGTCAGAAACCCGTACCAGGTGCAACACAGAGCTGCTCACGACACAGTAAAGAGGAAGTATAGTTTAACAGAGATTTAATTTTCCTTCCTTACATTATTTGTTCTCTCTGTTGCTGTACTGGTGCAGTCACAGAGAGCGTGTGTTATTCTGCCAAATACCATTTGGCCAAGAATTTTGAGTTCTAGATCTCTGGAAATCCCAGCATGAGCTAAATACATTTTTTCCATTTTGAAAACGGTGTATGATTCAAGCCCATTTGAGTTCAGAGGAATCTCTTGAGTGAGCACTGGATCAGATGCTTAGGACAGGCTCAAACAGCACTTTACAGCCATTCTGTTTGCTCGTTTACAATGCCGCTGAGTAAGTCTCTTGTGAATTTGTGCTGGTTTTTCTATGTGATCAGAGCCAAGCCCATCCCCGGGGAACTTTATATCCACAGCCAGGCCTTTCTTCCTATTGTTAATTGATGAGGCTTCCTGCTCTGAGGCTGCCATCTGTATGTGACTGTAAGTAGCTCAAGAGATGGCTGTAAGGAAAGAGTCAGTAATGTTTGGACACAGGATAAAGGCAAATGTCAGCAAGGAACTAGCTTATAATATTCAGCCTGCCTAATAAAGGTTATCCCAAGCAAAGAGGGGTTTGGGCTCTCGTATCTGAGAATCACAGCTCTGCAAGATCATTCCTACAAGCCCAGATCTTGGCAAAAAAACTTGTGTGCTGTATATATGGATTTTGGAGGTGTGTAGCTGCTCCTTGTCCTCTCTGAAAAGACAGCAGTGTAAGGGCTAAAGCTTGAGCCATGCCACTAGCAATTGGAAATGTCTCTGTGCTAAAACAAACTAGCAGCCTATTGCTCCCCAGGATCTTAGCATGACTGCTTTGTCAGTGCTAGCCAGGGTAAAGCTTGTGTACCAGAGAGCATAGGGGTAAATCCTCAGATACCTCTCACTTCCCTGGCAGTTTCAAAATGGCTAAGGAGAGGCGTCAGTGTGGAAGATCTGAAGCTTCAACTCTGGGCTTTGTGGGATCAGAGGTAGCTTCTTCCCCAGCTCCACCTCTCTGGCCTCATAGCTGTACAACAAAGTGTACACTGGACGAAAAGGTAGCTGCCATGCGTTCGATGCAGCGCTACAAGCAGCATTCCTGCTGCAGATGCCAGTTCATTCACTTCTATCCTTGAATTGGCAACAGCAACACTGGATCTGGAAAAGACTGATTAGGAAGACGTTTGAAACATTTTCAGCTTCTTTTAATGGAATTTTAGAAGGTGGAAATAAAGTGTAACCACAACTGCAGCTGTCAGCATGAGACTGATCTTTTCTGTTCTACAAACCAACTGGGAAAGTACTTCAAACACTAGTAACATGAAGGGAAAGCACAAAGAAGGGGCAATTCTACTTCTCCTTGATGCCAAACGCAGAATTGTACGATGGGAGGGGTGCTCCAGTTCTGAGGAGATCTGGCAACTGGTCAGGGGAAGGGGACAGAAACATCCACATCCTCATATGCACACAGGAATGACTGGCGTATAGGACAAGAAAAGAATGAGTCAGATCCATCCCGGGAACCTTTTGTACTAATTAGGTGCACCACAAGCAACACTCTCTCTGCCATTTCTTGGAAGGGGCTGAGCTCAGATTGATAAGTAGTAATTCACCTACCAGAGGGATAGCCACATCCTCGTACGGCAATTTATCTTCCCTCCACGCATCATCAATCAAATCCAGGATTCTGCCATCCCTTTGCACTTCACTGTCCATCGTTATAGCAGGCAAGTACAGCTAAATCTGTGACACAGAAAAAATACTATTTCTCATATCCATATCCCCAACCAAGTAGCTAGAGTTTGGACTGTGGGCTTGCTCCAGTTTTGATCCCATTTCTATTAAGCTTAAAATTTTATGGAAAACCTTGGTTTTCCTAATCCACTCAGAAAGGGTTACAAGCACAAGAGAACTATTTAATGTGAAAAGAACACTATCAAACCGGATTGCAGATTGATATGTACCAGAAATGAATATATAAAACCAGCCTGTTATTATTAGAGATTTACATGTGTTTATGGCTACTGACCTTTAGAAGTCTCTCTTGAGAGAGCTTGGGGACCTAGAGCTCCCCAGTCCCCTCTAACTCTGCACAGAACTCTGCTTGCTGGTTGCTACCTGCTGGCTTTCGGTCCCTGATCAGTGCTGTAGCTCACCCACACCTTCACAAGTCTAGGAAAGTAAGAGCAAATGATTTAATGGCACACAAAATGTTCCCGAATCCTGAAAAGCAGGAAGAATAAGACCTGTCTTCCACCTGTCATTGCTCCAGGTTTCTTGTGGTCGCTTGGTTGGTACCGTGCCCTCCCTGAAACGCCACCTCAGATCTCGCCCCTGTGTGACTTCTGCAGGACCAGCAGCCAGCTCCACCGTGGCCAGGTTCGGACACCACCGCTATTTATTTAAAACCAAACCAGGCTGGGGCCTCTGGCAGGGCGTAGGAGCCGCCTGGCTCCAAAGCTACAAGGCCTTTCCTTTACCCCCGGAGCCGTGGAGCGCTCCGGCGGCCCCGCGGTGGGTGGGGACAGGCCTGAGCACATCCAAGCGCCGGTAATCGGGGCGATGCGGCCCCCGCGTACCCCTCCGGGCCCCCCCAAACCCCGCTCTCCCCGATCCGACCCGCCGCCCGCGCCCTGCCCTACCCTGCCCGGCCCCGGGAGGCCGCCTCGGCGCCGGCAGTGCGCAGGCGCGATGCCCGCGCAGGCGCGGTGCCCGCCCGCCGCCCAGGCCGCGGCTTTTGCACCGCCGTTAGGTCGGGCGCGGCGGGAGAACCGGGGGGGCGTTTGTGGGGAGCGGAGCGACCGGGGCGGGGAGCGGGGCTGGCGAGGGGTGCTGGCGAGGGGTGCTGTGTGGAAACATCGTAAGCGTTTCTTGAGCGTCGGGGAGGAGTTAAGCCCCAGTCGGGTGAGGGAGCGTCTTCCGCAGCGGGCGGGCGGGCGGGCGGGCGGCGGTGCTGAGGGGCTGCCGGGCCGGGTGTGGGAGCGGCGGCTCCCGCCGGGCTCCTGCCCGGCCTTCCAGCCGGAGATGGGCTTCCCGGCGGCTGGCGAGCCGGGCACGGCTGTGGTGGCGTTTGCTGCGACGTGGGTCGCGCTTTTCTGGTCGTTGTAAGCGTGCTTCCAGCGACATTGCATCCTACTGTTTTTTTTTTTAAATGCCAAATAATCCTAATATTTTCTCCTGGGCAGAATTCTTAATTCCTTCTTCACATTGTCAAATTTTCTCTACTTGGCTCTACTGCTACGATTCTTTCTTGAGTTTGGATGCTAAACCTTGTTGATTTTGAAATGTTTTATCTCTCATTTTTTTTTTTTTCCAAACACTTCCTTTTTCTTCAATTTCAGGCCAGCTCCTGTTGCTTCAGCTGCAGTTAATAGCAGAGATTGTTTTCTGTTATCTGTGTGGGTCTTTACTCAGTTACCTGTAACTTGCACATTGCGACTTGCAAGCTTGAAGGGTCAAAACATAATACTTAGTCAACAAACACGATGCACTATAAAACTGGCTAGAGGTGTCTGATTTAATGGCTCTTTCCCCAAACCTGGGTAAGCTGGCAAGTATGCAGAGCTGGCAGATTCAACCATCTTACCTTGGGGGCCCTGCTTAAAGCCCAGTAGAGGCAAGAGTAGATGCTATCCAGCCCCTCGTGCCTCTAGCGCTTTCAGTGTTGAACTGATCCCAACCTCGCATGGAAGGAGCTGCTGATAAAGGACCTGGATTGCTCTTTGGATTTTTGGATTCTAGCAGATGGTCTCTGTGGTGGACAATGAAATCTCTCCGCTACTCACTGAAAATTGATTCTGTGTAGGTGTGATTAGGATGAAACAGCAGAGCTGCTACAGAATAATGTCCACTGTTGCCACTTGGAGAACTCTCTTGGATTGCTGTCAGCAGCTCTGGGGATCTGCTCGTCACCTCTCCTCAGCAGCTCTGCCATCAGCAGTACAACAGAGATTTTCTACATACTGATTGAATGTTGTTAAGCACAGACAGGACCAAAGAGGGACAAAACACCGTATCAGAATAGGGCTTGGAATTTTTTTTTTTATCCTCAGTGAAATACGTATTTTCTGTATTTGTGTGGTTTAGAATACATCTGAACTCCAGGGACAGGCTTTAATTTCTGGATAGCGTTTTAAAATTCTGTAAGAGCAGGATAGAAGCTCGGATGGAAGTGAAAGAGTGAAGCGGAGTTTGCGTGTCTGAAAGTCTCACGTTACGACCTGCTCCCCTTTTTATTGATTGCTTAATAATGCCATATTAGTCTTTGAGGAAAGGTGTTGTGAGGATCCATCTCTTGATGAGAGTGCATAGATGTTTTGGAAACAGAAGATTGTGTGAATACCTCCACAGAGTGAAACTGAAGTATAGTTTTGTATCCTCAGGATGAGTTTAACCATTTTTCTGTTAGAGAGCCACAGTTTCATGGAGGAGTCACTGAAATAAATTCTAGCTTTCCGGATGTGGTTCCATGGTAACTTTCTTTTTTTTTTTTTTTTTTTTTTTTTTTTTCATTCCCCATTTTTGCCTTTAGTGTAAACCTTTCTTGCTTCACAAATACATGAAACTTCTATGTGTATGCATACATACATGTGTTTATGACTTAAAGGATGTCATTTCTAATGATGACAATGTACTGCTACTGTAAACCCGTGCAGCTTCTTTTCATAGCTTAAGGCACCAGAGGAATTTTTAAAGAATTAGTGCTGTCTTAAAAGAAAATTCTCACAACCATATGAGCTAGCAATGTGTCCTGAATGCAGTTGTAAACTGTGTGGGCTCTTTAACCGAGTCTGTAATAGAGACCTAGGAGAGATCTAATTTATGAACAGATTCTTACTGCTAGGTGCTACGAGATACTCATAGCTTTTCTGTGATGTGACAGATAGGCCTGTGAGGTGCATCTTGTGCTGGCCCGTTCAGAAGTCCCCACGTGTCACTGTTCCTCTGCAGTTTGTTGCACCCAGGAGAGGGAAATCTGACAGTCCCAGTGTGTTGAGTTTGCCCATTTGCTGAAGTGCATCTTCTCTTTCACTGCTGCTGTTTGAGTTATTCCATTTATTAGATCAAATTATTGTATCACTGCAATTTGATAGTGCTGAATGGTTGCATTTGATCAGGTTTTTTTTTGGTAGAAAAAACTGTTTTCCTTTATTTGACAGATACTTGGCTTGTAAGTTCATGAAGGTGACCATTGTTTTCTTCACCTGTAACTGTCTGCTAACTGTAATTTTTTAAACTTCTTTCCTCTGCAGACTTCTGTTTCATCTGCAGTTGGACGGCGAAGTAGCCTGGTTCGTACATTGCCATGGGTGATTGCTGCTTTTGTGTACTTTCCTAGCTGCTAAAACCACCAGGGTTTGGTGATGGAGGCTTTGCTGGAAGGAATGCAAAGAAGTGGGCAGGGGAGGTATGTATACTAGTATACACTAGCTGTTCAAAGTCATTTAAGTATTAATCTTTCCTCTTGCTCAGAATCAAATCCTCTGGTATCAGACAAAGCTTCCGTTGCTTAAATAAGGGCTTTGGAGTTTGCCCACTAGCACATGCTGGTCAAGAAATACAGTGTGCAGTGGCCTTCAGCTGGTGCAGGAGCAGAGTCACTGGGTGAGCCGGCTTTGCAATAATCCCTTGTCAGATATCATACAAACATTTAGTTTTACATCTTCCTGAAAATCTTACCTTTTTTTTTATTTTGATGTTGTTGTTGTAAACCCTTATTACCATCTAACATCAGAGCAGTAGTAATTAAAGGTGTGAATAAATATTTTGTTTGTAACAGCCTTGCAAGGTTAATGAGACGTGACTTTGTTATCTGTTTTTATTGAAAACATCTGATTATTTCTTGCCTGTGTTGAAACTGCAGACTCCCATTCACCTCTGAAGAATCCTTAATGCTCTGTCTGGTGAAAGTATCTAGACTTCTGGATCCCTGAGAGAGATTGTAGTGCCAATAATGGAAAAAAAATGTTTTATTTGTTAAACAAGTGTGAAGCAAATGTCACTGATGCCATTTTCATAATCATCTTTGAGAATGTGACTCAGGTTTACTGATACTGGTTGCAGAAAGGCAAGTTTAGACTCAGCTTTATATTAGCACATGCTGTGAAGGAAATGTTCTTGCTCTGCATTATGGCTGCTAATTTTTGGTTAACTTGCAGGACAGGGTGAACTTCAAATATAACTGATTTTGGCTCCTTTAGGAAGTACTTCTTTCCCTATAGAAAAACTGCCAAGTTGTGAAGTGTGCATATGTGCAGGGGGAACAGAGAAATTTCAATTCCTTAACCTATTGATTTCCATTTATTTTCAGTGCTTCCTGTTTGACAGGTAAATTAAAGGGGTAAAGATCATCATGGAGTTCACCATCCTCTAGGGCTGTATTGTGCAAGCCTTGATATTGTCCCTGGTCTAGCAGCTTGTGAGGTTTTAGAGGAGTTAGTTGAATTGGCTTCCGTAATTACTGCACCAAATTAGAAACTGCAGCGTCGCTAGGGAGCATGCTCTCCCCAATGGATTGCAAATGTTTTATTCTTCATTATCATGTTGTCATCCAACCCCCTCTACTTAGGGATTTGTCTGCATTTGTGATAAACTTCTGTTTTCAGGAGCTGATAGCTTGGCTGTAAGATTTCTCTGGTGACTGAAACTTGGTATAAAATCCCTCTTCCTGGAGAGCAATTAAGACAAATACAAAATATGGATAGAACATGCTCCAGTTTACTTAGATAATGCAGTGAGACAAAGGGATAAGTGTGTATAGGTGCTTGTAATGGTTCTCTGTATACAGACAAACCCCCTACATTTAAAGTGTGTAGGTCATTTGTTCTCACTGGGATTTTGCAAGTATTCTTCATTAGTCATTGCCAAATTTAGATCTCTGGCCAGTGATAGGAACACACCACTTGTGAGATACTGCATTAGAGAATGGGATGAATATGTAAGTATTATGTATATTTCTCTGCAAGCTAATCTGCCTAGAGTTCAAAGCGCTGCATATGCAGAACTGGTCCCTTGGTGCAAGTCAGCTTGTTCTGCTGATTTTATTGGTACGGGACCCTGGACCTGTGTTGAGTGGTGTCTGCTTTGTAACTTCAAGCTCTTTCCCCTCCAGCAGTGGGTTCCTGACTTCCTGTGAGGCTGAGCTGCAGGAGCTGATGAAGCAGATTGACATTATGGTTGCTCACAAGAAGTCTGAATGGGAAGGACAGACACAGGCTTTGGAAGCTTGCCTGAGTGTTCGAGAGCAGGAACTTTCCTCTGCCAGGGCTGCTCTGCAGGAAAAGTATAAGGAGGTACCTCAGGTTCATACTATTTTCTGATTGGTGTCAACCCGTGAGTTTTACATGTTACAATACAATATAAAGACTGAACCTGAATTTCTGATTTTGACTTTGCATGGACATGTGTTTTGGGTATCTTCATCTGTTTTGATTTTTTATTTAAATGCTAAGCCAAAACATGGGGTTAACTTTAGCAAATAACTGTGCTAAGCGAAACAGGAGCCTGTCTCCTGGTTGGACATCAGGAATAGTATTTACAAAGGAGCCTGTTGGAACAAGGTGTCCAATTTGTAATTCAATCAAAGCGAAGTGATCAACTCCCTAAAAGTTGGTGGAAGTCCACAGATTGAATTGTCAGAGTTTCTAGAGAGAACCCAGAGAGACTGAATCTGGATACAACAGTAATCAACAGTCCAGCAACCTGCATTCGTTGGTAGAAAAAACATTTATAGCGTAAACTGCACCAAGATGTTGCTGGGAGATTCTCCAAGGGCTACTTTGTGCAGCTCAGGTTTTACAGCCTTTAATTAAAGGCCTGGGGGAAGTGCAAAAAATTTCTGTAGCAGTGAGAAGTATCAGTAAATGGAGTTTTTGCATAGGCTGCGGACCATAAACTTTCTCTTGTGCAAATGAACTTGTTGTATCTTTTCTTGGATCAGAGGAAACCAGCAGGAGTCTGGGTGGCTGTATCTTAAGATCTAGCCACATTGACATTTTCTGAAAGTGTTTAAAATTTGTCCTTATATTTATAGCTGCTGTGTCCTATCTTTTGGCAGACTCATCGCTACAAATTGTGTTTTGGCAGCTCTCTGATGAAGTTGTTTTGACTTCTTGGGTCGAAAGCCAGCTGATAACTGCACAAACAGTTGGATTTTTTGGGTGCCTGTGCAACTATGCTACATCCTCAAAATTATCGAAGTACTGTTGTAGCATTTAGTAATTTGATGTGGCATCTAGTAAAATAAATAGAAATGTGACAGGTTGTAGCAATAGTGGGTTAAGAACTCTGCAGGTTCTTGCTAATATGGTCAGATCCTTCTACTGGTCTGCTTGGCAAGTTTTTGAATTAATGTTTTTGTTACAGAGTTATTAAATCTGGAGTCATGCCACAGGATTTTAGTTTGCAGGAACAGTGATTTTTATCATATAGGTTATTGTTATTATCAATTGTGTTTTCTCAAGACACTTTTGAAATATTTATCACCAAAAGTGGTGAACATTGATTTCAAAACTGAACTGTAAACTGTGGTTAAAGTCACTACTGGAGTATATTCATGCTTTTGATTTACAAATTTTCAGCAATGATTTCTTTTAATTCTTTGGCTTGCTGTCCTTTGGACCTGCAGTTAGAAAGGTGGCCTCTGTGGGTTGTGGGTGGGAAAAAGATGGGGGGAAAAAAAACCCCACAAACCCAAAAATGAGTCATAGGAGCAGTTGAATCAATGTAAGGGAAGTCTTCCCCATGAGTTTCAAAGCCCCATTCCTTTCTTTGTCCCTCTCATGTTCATGTGTTATTTGGAATCTTCGCTTCACCTGAACATAGTAAGATAATGACGGGGCCATCTTTTCACTTGGTAGCTAGATTGAAATCTTAATGTGTGTTTATGAAGATACCAGGTGGAAATAGCCTTTTGACACAAGCACAAACTGTCAGCTTCATCCCCAAAGATGAAAGCCAGAAAGTGGCTCAAATCAAGAGGCCAGAACAGAAACAGTTCTGACCCCAACCTGCCAAAGATTTAGGTATAGAATTAATCTGATTCATAGTGAGTGACCCCATTGAAATAATGTGCAGTTGTTAACAGAATTAGGATCTTTTAATAGTCATCTAACACTCCTACTAGAATGTATATTTATGAAATGAAAACTAGTCCTAGTACTTACTGACAATTTACTGACAATAGAGTACACTTCTGTTGTTTTATTTATTTGCTTTTTAACTCTTCATTCAGGTTGGCATGTTGCGTCACCAGGTGGAAGACATGGAAAAAGGCAAACAGGACATGGTTAGAGAATATGAACAACAGCTGAAGAAATTTCAAGAGGAGGTGAGTTGCAAAAAGGGAAGACTGGTTTTTGGTTCTCAGTTGATATATGATGTGATAGGTGAAATACTTTGCATCATTACTTTTGTTTAAATGCCATGGTTTTAAAACTTTCCATTCTTTTAATGTGTTATTTTTTACAAAAAATAGCATTGAGCATAGACAAAGCAATATTTTTATGCTTCATTAGGCCTGGTTTTTGCACTTTGGAGGAGCTTGGTGACGCATGGAGAACTGTTGGAGTAGAAGTGTGTAGTAGATGTATTGTTGCGATTTTTCATGTGTTGGACATCTGCAAAAGTTTACTGCAAAAATGTCCTGTGCTCGCCCATCCTAGTCACCATAGTGCTTATTCTGAAGTTGCCATGGGTACAGGCAGCAACAGTTTGCTCTTTCAGTATGTCATGAAATTAAAAAAGGGTGCCGGTGTAGCTGGCCTGGATCATATGAGATCAAGTGAGTATGGGACATAGTCTCATCTTCTTTTTGCCTTCACTGACTCTGATTTTGTTGGTAAGGATTTTGTTCTCTTAAGGCATATTAGTCTTAATACACTTAGTAAAAAATACATGTACTTGGAAAGTATTTTTTGAAAATAATTTCAGAGCTTTCATCTCAGAAAGCTTCTTATTCACTGCAAGGTGATGCTTGTGGAATGTCCTGCAGGTGGTATAACAGCATTCTGTGTTTATCCCTTAACGCTTTGTCTGTCTCCACTTGCTTGTCAGTAGCAGTGAGTTAAGTGGCATGAGCAGCTAGTAGAGCACTGACCTGTTTTCTCTGGAGAGTTGGGCCTAGTTCATGCTCACTGTAAGTCATAAGTTAAATTAATTTAGTAGTTTCTGCTTTGACGCAGAAGGCATCTGTCCTCATTTAAAACACCTTACTATTCAGTATGACTAACAGTCTTCATTCGCTCGATGTTCCCACTGGAATTGTGGATAAGCTGCAAAGCAAAGCTGAAGTGCATTGGCAGATCTGCCTAAATTGCTCAGGCTAAAATACAGTGTGTGTGTGTTGTGGCCAAAATTGCAATGTGTTGGTATTTTTTTTACCCACACAGTATTAATGTAGACTGTGGTAAGCTCCAATACTTCTCAGTTTTCTGTTCTTAGTACTGTTTGGGGAAATGCTTTCTGTCTTGGTTTACCACCATTACCAGTAAAATTACAGGTACAGTGTCTAACTCACTGAGGTGGTTGAAAGGATAAACCTGGACTTGTAATCTTCTGATGTCTTTGTCAAAAGATGCTCTTGTATTAACTCTAAGCCTGTGTGCCTGTCCATTCCCATTGAGCATGCCTAAGTACTTTGCTGATGCAGGGCTCTGGAGAACCTTCTGTGGCCAGTGCCTGAAGTCTTGATTCAGATGCTCTTTCTTCTCAGAGTCCTTCTCTTCATCCATGGGCTTAGCTTTCTCCATCAGTAAAACAGGAATGATGACTTCTCAAGTTCATGTGGCTGCTTGGAAACTTTTTATTTAATAGTTGAGTTGGGGGGAGCTCATCAGATGGAAAATTCCGTGCAAGTTGCAAGTGATTATTTGCACAGAGGGTCATTTAAATGTCAAGAGTTTTTTCCTCATTCCTCTTCTGATACGACTTTAGCATTCTAGCAGTAGGCGTAGGAGTGATATTTTCTGTTGGCATTCTCCACTCATTGTGAAATACATAGTGTATCTAAGCAAAAAATGACAGATGAAGTACTGTTGATATTATGTATAATGGCAATTCTCAAATCTTCCTTCTCCCACTAAACGGAAGAGTTCCAGTTCCCACCTGAGCTTCACAAGTGTATTTTAATCACATAAGAAATTCTGCCTCTGTGTAGAACTATCCCCCACGCCGTGTATGGTGGGATGTGTCCCTCTGGGGAGATCAACCACGGATACTGCCTGCCACTGCTGTGGCTGGGAGCCACCTGTAGAGAGAGAGGTACCATGCTCTTGCTGCATTAACAGCTACATGTAAACCTCCATCTTATCAATATTTTAGTCATGTTTTAATAGTGGTAAGATAGAGCCTAATTAGAGCTGTGATGTCACGACTTCAGTGGCATCTTGCTACTCTTATACAACTCGGCACATTTTGCAATCCTGTTGGTATAATAGGCTCATTATACAAATGGAAGTCTTCGCTTGCAAGCTGTGTGGCCTTGATTAGGGGAATTGTTCGTGTGAAGCCATTTTGTGTGCCTCCTTTCAAAGTGCTGTTAAATTCTTGCCTTGGGGTCTTGAACAAAGTTGTCTCTTTTACTGTTTTCTTTGCAGTTGTCCAGGCTGAGGAGGAGCTATGAGAAGCTGCAGAAGAAACAACTAAGAGAAGCTAGAGGAGAAGCTAACAAGAAACAAGGGGACGACCAGTTTGAAATGAGACAACTGACCAGGAAGCTGGAGGTATGCGGTGAAAAAGCAAGTGCTAACCAGAGTTTGTATGTATTAACTGAATTTCTGGGCTTCACTGGTGACTGCATAGTCAACTAGGAAGGGGACTATGAATCCTGCTTAAAATGTATTCTCCATCTAGTGTCCAGGTGTAGCTCTTCTCAACAGCTTGTATAATAAAGGCAGTTTCCTGCACTGGGTCCTCTGAGTACACCGGATAAGCTATGCTGCTGTTCTTATTCTTAGACTAAATAAAAGGAAGAAGGTGCTGGAATAGTAATTAATTATGTGAATGGAATGAATTCCAGTGTGGGGAGGTTGTCATCTCACTTCTTTGAGGAGGAGGGAGCTACATGTCAGACTTTCTCAACCCTGTCTCATCTTTTAATCTTTCTGCTATGCTGAGCTCAACCGCACTCAATTTTCTTCTACCGTACCCTGAAGATGTGGCTAACAAACACATCTGACTGATATAGTGTCCAATTTCTGGAGCAGAGATTAGCATTAAAATTCTGTAGTTCATACTTGTCATCTTAGTGATTTCAATAGCAGCATGTTTTGGAAGCTAAAGCCAGTCTGAATTGTTAAACCTCTGACAGCAAATCCATGAAACTAGCCATGAATCTGTTAGCACTTAACATTTGTAAACAGCAATAATTGACACTGACGTTTTAACTCAGGAGGGAAAGAAATACAGCAAGCACAGTATGGGAGAGGTTTTATACTGCTGAGTTGGTGCATCAAATGACTGGCTAATGGTTTCCCTGCTGTGGGGAAAGGTGCATGAGGATATGGTGGAGAGAGAAAGCAAATGTGGATATGAACTAGAAGGGGGCCTTATTGTCAACTGCATGGACATACTGCTCCAAGCCACCCCTGCTGTCCTTGCAGGAGTTTCGTCAAAAATCACTTGACTGGGAGAAGCAGCGCTTGCTTTACCAGCAGCAGGTGGCATCGCTGGAAGCACAGAGGAAGGCTTTGGCTGAGCAGTCTGAGCTCGTTCAGGTACAATTAATATGTGCTGAAAGTTTTTGTTTTGTTTGTGGCAGCAGGTGGGAGGGGAGGGAGGGGGGAAGAGGGAGAGACTAATGAAGTCTTTCAGGCTTGAATCCAGTTTAGGTTGCCATTGAAATGACTTTTAATGTCCTGATGGAATAAGGTTTACTTGTATGAGTGCTATATGGAAAAAAGATCTGGAGTCTGTCAACAGAGGTTAGATAAACCTTGTGCAGCTCTCCCTGCCATCCCTCCAGTTACGAGAGAAGATAGCAGGATGAAGCTTTCCCTAGGAGTCAGAGACCACAGCATATGACACTCTAAAATAGCCGTTATATCATGTCGTCTAGTTCAAAGCTGTGTACCTGCCAGTAGCTAAATATGTACCTTGTGGATTCAACTCGGAGGAGGATGTTGGAAAATAGTCTTCCCCTACAGTAGATACTTCTGCAAAGTGTTGAAGTAGCAGCAGTTTTCGGCCCCTGCCCCTCTCCCCTTTTTTTTTTTTTTTTAACTCTCTTAAAGGCAAGAAGTAGTGGGGCTGCTGTTCCTGAAAAGCTAATCGTTCAGTGAGTTAGTGGTGCTGCAGCAGAGCAAGATGAATTGACCTAGAGCACAGCTGTGAAGTCACACTGACACAATCACAGCAGACACTGATAAGAAGCTCTTGCTGGGGGCTTTACACTTAATGGGCTCCTGAGTTGCTCTTGAGTGGAAGCTCCTGCAAGGAGGAATTTTGTGATGACAGGATTGAAGCTGGCTCTGACAGGGTCTTTGTGAGAGGCTGACACTAGTAGATCTACAAATGCAGAGAGAGTCGTTGAGCAGAAGGTCTTGCTGCTCTGCTGTCTTTGTATCATTGATAGCTCAATTGTCTGAGAACAGATGTGTCCTTGGAGTGCAGGCTGATATACTGGAGCACAGAGGAACTCTTCTTACTGTGCATCAGAAAACCAGGAATTTGGGGAGATTTTTCATAAGCAGCGTGGATGACTTAGGTGTATAGGTAATGTGAACAGACTGCCTGAATCCTCAATTTCATTGAAAAGCCCAGCATGAAAGTGCTAAATTTTTACTTTGGATGTTTCTATGCATTTTGTATGCTTGGTTGTTTTTCTGGCACGAGGTCAAGCTGAGATCTGTGACCATGGAGTACTTCCCTTTTCTCTTCTTCCAGCTGGCTTCCCCTCATATCTTTCAGTGCAGCTTAGGGAAGGTTGGCATTCTTAGCCCAGTGATGAGCACCTTCCTATAACACCTGCAGCCTTTAAAGTCAACAGGTGAAACCTGGAATTCTTTGCTGTCCTGCATGTTTGGTGGCTGGAAATAAGAGATAGTTTAAATGTTTTCTTAATGCAGAAATAAATATTCAGCTAGTCTGGTACTCCAGTTTCTTGTGTAGAGAAAGGCTGTACTTTAAACTCATGCCCCTCCTGATTACGTTTTCTGTCATGACTATTCAAATAACTAAAAGGCTGTAATCAAAATTATACCATAGTCTTCCAAATGCACAGTTCCTATAGTTTTCTCAGTTATTAGGCATTATGTGTCAGGCAATAAATCAAGGCATGTGGTGATTCTGAAGCTGGCAGGAATTGATACTCTTAGAAACTGGGAGTAAAAGACTACTCAAATATTTTGTTTCAGCCTTTAAAAATTGTAAGGTACTATACAAAAAGGGAATATATGAAGTAAATATTCTTAGAAGCTTATACGAGAGCTGGCTGTTAAACTTCACCAGCTAGCTACACTGAAAGAAACGCTGTGAAATAAAGTATTGTGCCTATAAATAATAGAGCATTTATTGTTCGCTAGTCATATGTTCCTTATAACTTTTTTTGTCTGTCATTAAAACAATGAAACATTCAAAGTGAGCATTCTCACAGGCTGTTAGAACCAGATATTTACTGCATAAAGCAAAACATAATTGGCTGTTACGCCCAGTTCGGTTTTTGATCGGTTTTGTGGCTGTGGGTTTTTTTCATTGTGCACCAAGAGCTGCTTTCTATCCCGGTGTGGAATTAATGACTGGGTAATCTCTGGCTTGTGTATGGTATTTACAAACCTTCATATGTGCTGCTGTTTCTCCTGGCCTAGCCTTAGGTTAATGAGCAAAAACTAGTAGGCAGCTTTGTTCTTAAACAGTTCATACTCAGACAACTTGAGTGATTTGAGATCTGTGTTTCCTAGATTCTCTTTTGAACCCCTTTTGGAATCAGAGCCCCCCCCCCCCGCCCATTTTATTTTATTCTGTTTGCCTTCAGAAGTTTTGCCCATCATGTAACCCTGGAACAACTGTTTTCCTAATTCCCTGAAAGGTAGTGTTGCTTCCTTTAAGAACGTGGCTTGTTACACAAAGAAGTCAGTAGTTATATTGAATGCAGCTTTGATACACTCTGTTTTCTATAATTTAGCTCTAATGCAAACCAATTGCTCTTAGCAGACTCAGCTTGCCAGTCGGAAGCAGATTCTGGAGTCAGTGGAGCTGGCCAGCCGTTCGGAAATCCAGCACCTAACCAGCAAGCTGGAGAGGGCCAATGATGCTATCTGTGCCAATGAGTTGGAGGTGGAGAGGCTTAACATGAGGGTGGACGACCTGACTGAAAACAATCGGATGATTCTGGAAGATCAGCAAAGAGTTCAAGAAGAATTAAGGCAATCCAAGAAAATGTTAGAGGTCAGTGGAGGCACTGTTAGGAAACTGAATATAAAGCAGTGCCCGTGAGAAGTAGCAGGAAGGCTCTTTGTCCCAGAGCTCCCATCTCTTTCTAGAGTCTTTGTAAAGTTCCTGACTGGCCTCCAAGCTGGCTTTGTACCCGTGTGGTGCTCTGCAGTATTTCCAAGGGTTCCTTAAAAATCTGGTCAACCTCTTATCACATGACAGCAAACTGATTTGGTCTATCTTGCAACAGTCAGTCCTACTCCCTCTTGTGCAGGTACTGCAGGATGAGAAGGTGGAACTTCGAGCCACCTTACAGTCTCAGGAAGATTTCATTGACAGCTCCAAGCTGCACCAGGAACAGTTACAGAAAGAGCTGGCCAGGTTGACTGAAACTCTTCGTACAAAAGAGCTCTTCATCAGGTAGCATCTGTGCCTCGCTGGTGCTTATGCTCTTGAATCCAGATCTGTATTCCAGGTTCTTCCACTGAGGATGGTAGAAGCATTTTCATGTGGCTGGATCTGTATTGGTTGATATTTAGAATCATACACCGTAGTTCCTTACGAGTGCTGTGCTTTCTCGCATCATTTGCCAAATTGCATTGCTTTTGAAATCAACTGATACTCAGTGAAGAGTGTGGAGGGAATCAGCTTTCTACTCAGCTGGGTTTCTGGAGGAAGCACAGGGCTTTTGAGTGAGTTTGTTTTTTTCCCCCCCACCCCTCAGGCATGTTCAGTCAAGTGCTGGAGGCCTTTCAGCATTTGATAATGTGCTTGTTAATGTATGTGAAAGTTCTCACTGGTTTAATGATGTCAGAATAGGGTCTTGATAAGGTGACTGCATATGTGACAAAATCATCTTGGCCTTCCTGTTCTGCACTGGCAACATGCAAAAGCTATAGGGTTCTGCTGGCCGTGTCAAACGGTTTTGGCATGTGGTGACCTAACAGCCACACTGTTTCTTGCAAGCTGGATGTCTGCTAACAGCTAATGTCTGGATCAGGGAGGCCAACATCAAAATAGAACATAGTCTTTTTTAATCAGCCTGAACTCAGACAGGGGGCTGTCATCCAGCTGGTGTGTTTGCTTATTCACAGTGCACACAGGTGTCACCTACTGTTGGGTTTTGTGTATTTTTTCAGAGAATTCTAAGAAAATGGCAGTTATGTTCCCTGTATTAGTGAGCTCAGACATGACTTTTCTGTGCTGAGATGTTCATGTTTCTGCTTAGGGCCTTGGAGGAGCGCTTGCAAGAGAAACAGTTGTCTTCTCCAGGGCTGGAGCTAGAGCATATACTGCTGCAGCTGGACGTTGCCCAGAAGAAGGAACAGCACTTACAGTCAGAGGTGACTCATCTTGAGAACAGGTAGCTGACTGCTTGCTTCCCCTGGATATGCAATGAAACTTGGATAATAATATAATACCTAATATATTGTATTCATCAAGTTAACCAGTCCTACTGATTTTTGTAGGCTTACTTTAAATATCAAAGGGCTAAAGAAATCAAATGCTATTCATTTTTCAGTTTAATAGTGAGACTGTTCTGCTTGTTGGCTGGCTGCTTTTCACTGCACACTGTGGGTGTTTTCAGTGTTTTAGCTTGCTTAGGCTTAGCACCTTCATTTGTAATAGGTTAAGGAGTCTTTGTTAGTCAGCTGGTAAGAACCAGATCTAGACCTTCCTGTGAAATAAGAATTATAAACAGGTCTTCCTCTCCGAGTTTGTGGTTTTCAGACTAATGTTTGCATGGGAAGTTTGTAATCTTAGTATGGTAAAGGAATAAATAAGAAACAGCTATTATCTGTTAGATCAGCTTCCTGATCTCTTTTGAAATGATTTTGGTAAACAAAGGCAAAGGATTGGTAAGGAGCTTGTAGGTTAAGAGTCCAGTTTCTGTTGCCACAGACACAGGAGACTGCTTGGAAGATCAAAGTTTCTCTGACCATGTCCTGTTCTTTGGGGTATTCTAATCTGTAGTTTTACATTTGGCACCCAGCCTGGTGTCTTCAAATGCAAGGTGTGTACAGCTGAGCGAAGAGCTGGATGAGAATATCAAAGAGCTGCAGTCAATGGAAGAGCACCATACCGAGTCAAAGGCAGAGATTAAAAAGGTAATGTTGCTTTGTTCCTGGAGAGTGGGAAAGGCACTTGTGGAGTCAGTGTTCCCATGCATGTTGTGCCTCAGCAGCGTGCAGTTAGCAAAGCAAAATGTGGGACCAAAGGCCAGGAGTGGCGTGGAGGCAGTGACCTGCTGAAGGGTGAGGAGCAGATCTGACAAGAGAGGAGTTGAGAGGATGGGTTAGCAGGTTTCTCTGCATGGCTATTTGGCTCACTTTGTGAGCATCTGTTAGGCCTACCCCTACATCACACAGTACTTCTCTACAGTGTGCAAATACTTGCATTAGTGCTGGAAGGGCAAATATACAAAGAAATTAAGGCCTAGAAATCTGAGTTTAAGCCTAATACAGGCTCTCAGCAGGATGAAGAACAGGGAGGGGAATAGGCTTTGCTATAATATGTCCTGTTGCACTTGAGACAGGGCTTCAAATGTGTTCTAGCCTGTATGTGAATAAGGGAGTTTGTTTCAGGCTCGATACCTAGATGTGAACTCAGGGGCTGCAAGAAATGGATCAGTTCCTCTGCCATGAGGACCTCACCCTAGCGCTCTGTGCATCAAGGGAGGCAAGCCCCCCAAAGGCTTGACTTTTAATAATGCTCTAGATCAGTTAGTGTGAGAGCTTTCACCGGAGTCTGGTTAAAGTAGAAACCTTATTGGGCTCAAGTGAGGAGCCTCACTCCTGTGTAAATCTTTCATCCTTTATTTTGAATGTACAGAGGTGCAGATCTTGCCAGAGATGTGTGCTTGGTTACGCATTTAAACAGCCACACAATAAATGAATCTCCTACAGGCTGCTGGGGAGGAAAGAGAGATTTATTATGGTTGTTTCTATTTTATATACTTGGGAGGCGTTGAGGTGACATGGAGATAAATCACCATATGTATAGCATTTACATGGCTAGGCAGAGATCATCTGGTTCAATTTTCTAAAATGCTTGTAATTCTCAGAAAAATCCTGGAGGTTTGGGTGGTTAATATTTCTGGCTAATGGAATGAAATACTAGGGAAGAAATTATGCTATGTTGTTGTTCTGTTATGTCACTGAATAAATATACGGTGTGCCTACCAGAATATTGTAGGCAGTGCGGGTCTGCCATCTCAAAGAGGATTGAATAAAACAAGATAAGATGTGGGAAAAGATGACCAAAAGGATGGAGTCTTTTTTTTTTTTTTATACAAGGAACAGCTGAATGGAATAGGACTCACCAAACTGGAAAAGAGATAAATGAGATTGAACGTACTAAAAATAAAACCATGCCTGTCATGTGGAAAGTAAATAGGGAATGATTATTCTCTCATAATGCAGGGACTAGTGGTCATCAAATGGAGTTGTGAAAACAAAGAGGTATATTTTTACCCTGTGCATAGCTAGCTTGTGGAAGTTTGCCATGGGTAGCTTGGGTTGCTCCAAGCTAATATCGATTCAAAAGACTTAACACAAATTAATGGAAGAAAAGCCTGGCTAAAGCTATTTAAAGATACCATCTCTGCCTCAGGAAGGTGGAGTGGCAACTTTTAAGATTTTATTATGAAAGTTGTTATTGTGCTTGCCCAGTGATGGTAAACGTTTGGGTATCTCTTGTTGGCCACGGAGCTAGAATGGTGAGCTAAAGAGACTGTGGTTTGATCAATTTTGGGCTTTCTCAAGTACTCCACAGCATGCAACTTATGTCTTGGTCCACTTGGCAGTTTATGGTGTGGAAAAGCATTGGGATGAGCTGGTTTTCAATCAGTAAGAACAAGCATGCACAGAGGGCTTGTTACATAGAGCTTTTTGTTTCCCAGTACTTAGATTTCACATTACCATGTACAATAGTTTTGCTTTTTTGCTGAAACATCTTTTAAAAGCTCGTGGGTGGTGTGTGCATATCTTCTTCCAGCTGAAAGAGCAGCTCTCTCAAGCTGAACAAACTCACAGCAGTGAGCTAGAGGGGATGAAAAAGGAAATCTCCAGGTTGACACAGGAGTTACACCAGCGGGACATCACAATTGCATCTGCAAGTGGCTCCACATCAGACCTAGAACAACGGCTGAGAACAGAGATCGAAAGAGCAGAGAGGAAAGCGGTGGAGCACAGGGTAAAAAAGGCAAAACATTTTTATGCTGTCTCTTTAAGGGATCTGAAGGCTTGGAATACCATCCTAGTTTTTAGCTATGTTAATAGTTTCCTTCTCTTTCCAGCTTTTGAACGGAGACATGGAGGCCCTTCTGATGAAATCTTCTAATTTATGGTGTTCACTGAATCTGTCTTGCTGCTTCTTTTCAAACCAGTAACTGACAGTCCCACAGAATTCTTTGAGATCACTCATGCTAACTAGGCCTGGATGATGACATCTTTGAAAACTAAAGTAAATAACTGCGTGATTATTTGTGTGGTTTTCACTATAGGGTTCCTGCAGAACTAACGGCCCAAAACTTGCTTTGTACTTGTGCTTGAATTGAGGGTGGAAAATGCCTGCAGGGTGTTGTGGGCATGTGTTGCGTTGTGTTCTTTATTTCTGAACTTGTTGTTTTCCTCTGTCTCCTCAGGTAATTCTGGTCCAGCTGGAAACCTTGAGGATGGAAAACCGTCATCTCTCAGAGATGCTAGAAAAAATGGAATGCGGTACGATAGAGGTATGCATTAGAGACCAGAGGTGGGAGGGCTAGCACTGCGTGTTCCCTACCTGGGAACAGTACCAGTCTTCGCCCAGCCTCCCAAAATGCATGGAAAAGTTCAGTGAACTTAAAACCCAAGCAAAAGGGGCAATTTGCAAGGAAATAAGGCTCAGAAATACTGAGCATTTTGTTTGGACAGAGAGTAATGAGAACTGCAGAAACAGCTGTCATCTCGTTTTCTTCTCCATGGGGTTTGGCCCGTGTTTTTTAGTACACTTTCTTATATTTCCATTTTATGCCAGTTTACCTCAAACCTCTGATTCTAAGTCTGTGATGTCCCTTTGACTTATCTCAGAACTGTAACTGCTCTGGTCTTTGCAGTTTCTGGGGTGAGAGCATGTTGCCCTCCTGGTGAGGGGCCATTCAGCAGGGCTGTCCCTTGCACTCCACAGGCAGGTTGCAGCCTGGGAATATGGGCTGGATGCCGTGGGGCAATGTGCTGGGAAGGGACACCATGGTGGGCTCCTGCTGATGTGGCACTCCTGAGGCTAGGTCCAGAGGGGAGGAGGAGGGGCTTGCGTGGAAGAGATGCAGTCTTGGCAGGAATAATAACTTGAAGGTGGTTCATTTTAGTGCCTGCATGAAGGAAGAAATGGCTAGTTTTCAAGTTCTGTCGCACATAAAGCAGAATGGATGCCTCACAGGGGGCAAGGACTGGATTCAGACAGCTGAAAACCTAATGGGAATATATCATCAGAGCTTTTATCCTGTCAGATCTGTGGCAAGGAAATACTCAGCTCTTAATATAAGTTTGGGGAGATTGTCAAATGTGCCAAGTTCTTGGGAAAGTGTTGAACAGAAGCTTGTGGCTGGTGAGATGGAGAAAAAACAAAGCTTTCTGGAGGGGTAGTTTGAGACTGAAATGACCTAAGGCCCATTACTTTCTGCTTGAAGTGCCTGGTGGGCTTTTGCCTGTTTGACTTATCAAAAACTTGAGAGCAAAGTAAAAGCAAGAGACACTTTTGTCATTTTTGTTTTGATTTTTTTTTTAAAAAAAAACAAAGCCCCACAGCCCCATGGCACAGGATCTACCAATTTTGGCCAAGTGTTTTGAATGCACATTTGGCAAGTTCTTAGATACGGCAGAATGAATTAAGCATCTAAATTTAATAGAATTGGCAAAAAGAAAGTGGGAATGTCACAGGAGTAGAAACAGTGGAAATTATATCCACATAGCCTAGTAAGGAGAAGATGGGGAGAAGAAAGTTGTTCAGAGTTTCAAAAAGAAAAAATATAATTCACTTTTACTGGTGAAAGTTTCCAAAGGGCTATGGGTCATCCCAGGTGGGAAGGTAGGTCAGTACACAGCCTTTTGTAATTATTACCATAGGCCTTTGCTAATTTGAGTGAGGGGATCTAGAAGTGTTCTTGCAAACAGCTTTGCTGGTAGATCACAGGGAAGGTAGATTCTCACTGAGAGTGGTTACTTCTGGTCAACAGCTAAGCCACTGGGGTATGTGTTCCTTCACACCCCCAGGAAGTATCTGGCAGAGCCTGCTACTCTGATACTTGGAGAGTTGCTCAGAGTGAGACAGTTTATGGGGGGTGGCACCTGAGTGTTCCCAGCTTTGGCTGAGAGGCTTGCATCTTTGCTAAGTGAGGGAATCCTAGAATATACAGCTGGAGGAGAACTCGAGGTCATGTAGTCCTTCTCGTCATGCCAAGGCCAGAGGCAGATGTATCTGAATTATTCTTGGTCTCTCTTTTCTTGTTTTCAAAAGCATCCGGTGTTGAGAGAGGCTTCCTTTCCTAGGCAGATCAGCACAGCTTGTCTGGATGCAGACACAATAAAGCATATATAATTGATTTGCTCTTATGAAAGCCTTGAAAAATTTGCCAGTCAAAATTGAGATTAGAGGGATACACCTTAAGGAATCACTTGCTGGCCTTTGCTCTGGATTTGACTATGGCATCTTGCAAGACAGAAAGAAGTTTTGACTTGAGCCCTTCTCTGTCTGTTAGGGAAAAGATGTCACCGCAAAAACACTCAGTGAAGACTATGCTGTTGAACTGGATAAATTAAAATCTGAGAACCAGCAATTGCGGAAGGATCTAGCAGAGGCCAGAGCAAAACTGGAGCTCACTCGGCAGCTCTGCCAGGGTGAACCCCCGGGCAGTGCTCGGCAGATGCAACATGAAGAGCCTGAGGTCAGGGATGTGCAGTACAGGTGAGTGTTGCGTGACCCCAAGGATGCTGCTTCCTTATTATGAAGTAGAACAGAAGGTGTGGGGATGTGTGGGTTTTTAATGACATGCTTTATGTGTACTATCTGTCTCCAGCACATCGTATGTATGGGAGAACACAAGGACTGTTTATACTTTAAGTAGTGCAATAGCTTTTAGTCCCAGCTGGCTTGCGTTCTGCAAAGCCAGCTAGTATTTGACTGTCTTTTGACTGCCTTTGCCTTTTTCTTTGATTGAGAAGCAGTGTGTGCTCTTTTCCGTGAAGGGATTAGATTCGGCCCAGGTGGCTGTGCTCCTTCCTTTTGCAGACTGTAGTTAGTATTTGGTAGCCACAATAGCAGAAGAGTGAGAGAGAATTCCCTAGAGGCTAGATGTGAATCTGGAAGTCCTATGGAAACAAAAGCCAGTTTGAATTGCCAGGGTTATTAGTTTGTTAATTGTCATCTCTGCTCAAGTTTTTGCTAAAGTTCAGCTGCTGAGAGGCAAACTGTCAAACAGTTATGTGTCCAAACCTGCCTTCCAGGACAACTCAGGAAGCACAGCAGAAACACGATGAACAAGCAGAAAGAATACATCACAAGGCTGACTGCACTGTTCAGCATCATCAAGGGGAGCCCCAGAGATGGGGGGCTGCTGAAATAGCAACTGTGACCCCTGAGACGGGTGAGCTACCCACCCAGACCAGCAGGAAGAACAGCACGGAATCGCTTGCTTTGGGCGCCTTGCTGGGAACAGATTCTTTGCTCCATGTGCTGGATGGAAACAAAGATTTGGCAGATGAATCATCTAAGCAGTCCATCTCAAATCATCAGAGGGAATCTGTGCCTTTGGTAAGCGGTTGTATAGAAGCTGGTTGCTATTCAACAGCCGAGGATATAGCTGCATTCTCATCTGGCAGAAGGAGCCAGATTTTTGAATGTATGATCTGGCTGCATGGTGTGTATGATTCTGTAAGTACACATCAAACGTTAAACAGGGAGGAAGAAACACTGCTGGATTGTTAATACTTGAACAATGGGAGCCATGTGGGTATTCTTCAGAACTCTCTGGGGAAGGGCTTTGTGTTTGCTATAATTGCTAAACTAATACCAGAAGCTCATGGTTCTTTCCATACTGGTGCTGTACATGACCTGCTTATGTCACTTCAGAATTCTGCTTCAGCGTCTGGTTTGGGTCTGTAGTAGAGGCTCAGAGTGGATGTGGAATGCTGAGTCTTTCAGCATACAGTTTCTGGGTGAGTCTGAAAGCTGGTGCTGCACACCTATGTTCACTGTAATGCACAGGGTGAGTTTGGCCCTGCTGAATGGATCTGCAGTAGTCAGCACACTGAACTGAAAGGAAAACCTGAAGTCGGTGCTTCACTGCACAAGGGCATGCTATTATTTTTACCAGTCGCTGATCATACTTTTTTAGTAGAGAACAGTGTTGGCACCTTCTCTCAGCTCAGGTGCTGGAGCACTTGCCCAGGATGCAGAAAACTTGGACTCAGTCACTTCTTCCTTTGATGTTTAAGACCATATATCCCAGCACCCACTGTAAAGAGCAGTCTGTAGACTGACTTGAGCAGGGAGGGGAATGGAGGAGGGACACTAAGAGCAGTTGTCGCACCCTGGGTCAGACAGGGCTGTAGTAGTTCAGGGAGGGGAGAATCCTGAGTACTGGTCCTTGCTGAAGACATGCTGCTCTTAGCAGTCTTTGGAGTATTTTCTCCTCTGGTTGTGTGTTGTTAGCAGTGACAACAGCTATTTTTATTTTGTGGAGGGCCCAGAGAAGAGTCTCTAAGGCAGACGCGCAGATAAGCAGAGGCTTGTCAGGTTCGTGGGCCTTAACAAGGTTTACTACCAAGGATAGGTCTTGATTGTTTCAAGACTGAAGTAGCTTTGGGGCAAGTCCAGGAAACAAGTGTTGGGAGCTTAGGGAACTGTAATATTCTAAATGGAAACTCTTCAGGTTGCAGGATTAGAACTAAAGTGCAAGAAGTTCCACTTCAGGGTCTGAGAAGCTCTAGGGCTTGACGTCTAGTAGAACAGAATGTGCTGCTTTTTGTTCTGAGAGGTAGTTATGTCTAAAGAATATCTTACTTGGTTTCTAAGGAAATGCAGATATTTTTCCTGGTGTTGATTAGGACTCCTTCCTTGTGGTCAGGCTCCAGTGTCTTTAAATCAGTTCCTTTGAGAGAATTCTCATCAGTAGGCAGTAGTGGGGTGGGAGAGATTTGCTTGTTATCTGCAGCCTTTTCCTCTGCTTTCCACTGTTCCTGGCTGTTGATAAAAACAGAAAACCATGAGACTCCAGGATTTGGAAATAACCACTTATGTTCTCTTGCCAAGACACCAAGGCAAGTTTTCTGTAATGGAAAGCAGCCCCTTAGTAACTTCACAATTCACCTGCCAGCCCCTGTGCAGGAAGTTTCTCTTCATTGACTCATAAATTAGGTCTACAATGGTATTTTTGTAAGGTAAGAACTTGTGGGTAACTGATGTGAGTAGCCAGAATAGTTCTTGACTGTAAAAGAAAGTATCTGGGGTAGTTTATTGACCATTGCTAGCTGAACTGGTGTTCAGTGAGCTGTGATGGGAGCTCGGTCTGCACTTCCTCTGTGGGATTGTAGCAGGAGCCCATTATTTCAGGGAAGAAGAGGAGGTATATAAAAGAAAGCAGAGATAACCCCAGTACTGGTCCAGCATGCCAGTTCTTTTCCTTCCCTGGATCCCATATTCTGAGATAATACTGCTCACTGAGATTTTTATGAAGACAGGGAGCAAGATGTAGACCTTAAGTATGAGGCTGCACTAACACACCCAGGTCAAAACCCTTGGTATTTTTTAGTGACCTTCTCTGGAGTTATGCTATGATTGCACATGCCATGTCATTCCCTCTTGTTATTTGAAGTGGAGGGGCTGGTAATTGAAGTGAAACTCCAGTTCCCCTAAGTAAACAGTCAATTCCTATCAATATGTCTGGGGTCAGGGTTCCACCTGTGAAGTGCAATAGTTACACAGGCACATGGAGAGCTTACTTCTCTTCAGCTCGAGCCCCCCTGCACCTTAGAGAGGGGAACTACTGGAATGGAAAAGTTATGTGAGCTGAGGTACTGGTTTTACTCCCTGCAGTTTTGACAAAGCCTTGGGAGGCTTTCACTGTTGGTTGGAGACTGTTGAGAGGGACATCTACCCATGATAAAAGCGTAAGACCCGAGAGCTTAGTCTGCCCGGTAAGTTAGAAATGATAAAAGAGCCTTTTAGAAGCATATCCAGTTGCGTGGTTTGTGGATCTGTAGTGTTACTGGCCAAAACTCAGAATAAAAAAATACCTGATAACCCTTTGTTTCCCTTTAGTGCCCCCTGCCTACTGCTTCAGTTGGATCGATAGCTGCAAGATACCTGGAAGAGGAAGAACTGAGATCCCAGCACATCCTGGAGTGCCTAAATGCTCACATTGAGGAACTGAAAAAAGAGAGTGAAAAGATAGTAAGACAATTCGGACACCAGGAGTAATGTTTCTCGCTGAATTTTCATTCTGGTTTACTAACGTGGTTCCAAACTGAGCTCGTGTGAGAGGCCGTATCTTCCACTTTGAGCTGAATCAACAGGATGGATATTGAAGAAAGGAAACTCCTCTAACATGTTTGATCTGATGGAGGTTATTACACCACAGACAGTTTAGTCAGCTTGCTGTAGGTCAGAAAGCTACATCAGAGGTATGTGTGCATTCACTCAGAAAGAGATTATGGTGTTTTTTAGGAGAAAACCATTTGCTAATTTTAATGTATTTTAAGTATATTTTATACATGTAAAAGCATTGAAATAAAACAGAATGGGAAACTACCTCTTTTCTTGTTTGTACAAATATACAGAGTAAATATCCTGTGGCTTATCTTGCCTTCTCATCAGGTAACTTTGCCCAACACCTTTTCCATCCTTTCCCTCTGTTGTGGTTTGAGCCTACTCAGCAGCTAAATGCCACACAGCTGCTCATCCACCCTCCCCCCACTTGGGAATGGGGAGGGAATCGGAGGGGCAAAGGGAGACTCACGGGTTGAGATAAAAACAGTTTAATAACAGTAACAGAATAACACACTGACAACAGTATCAGCAGGTAATGTACCATACAGCTGCTCACCACCCGCCAACCCACACCCACCTGCTCCCAGCCAGTGATCCCAAACACCAAGCCCCCACAGCCCCACTCCCAGAAGTGGCAGCCCCTCCCCGCCCTCTCCTGCCTTTATATAGTGAGCACAGTGTCACATGACATGGGATATCGGCCAATCGGGGCCCAGCCCTCCAGCTGTGCTCCCCCCGCCCCCGCACACAGGTGAGGGCACTGGGACCTGGGGAGCCCCCGGGGTCTCAGGGGGCTGCAGCTCCTCCCGCTACTGAAACCAACAGGAACTCTAGTCCAGCCCCAACCAGGACACCTTCCCAGAGTAGCTATGTTCTTCAAGGAACAAGGAATATACTTCCTCTTTCCTTTAGGCTACCATTATTTTCTCCACTTAATTGCCCCTTAGTGGAATTTCATAATGTTTCCTGGTCCTTGCAACTTCTGCCCTTCACTGTTCATATAGTATCTGTTGTCTTTATCTCACCTTGCACATTGCTTGAAGTACTGCAAAATAGCTGGGAAATGAATGGCTGAATTCTAATTGTGGTCACAGCCCTTTTTAAAAGAGAGCAGTTGGAGCTGGAAATGAAATTGATGGGAGGAGAACCCCCAAACGTGTGAGAGTCATCTTTACGACACAGATGTAATTGCAGCTGCTGTGTAAGCTGGTATCAGCCTGTTCTGAATTTAGGCAGTCTCTGGCACTGTCCAGTCCCATTGAACTGCTGTGTTAAAATGCATCGGTGAATATATATTCCTCAGACGCACTCCGAGGAATATATTTGGTCCTTCCTCAAGGAAAATAAGCTGTTAATGGGTGAACAGAACCCGTTTCCCACGGGCTTGTCTTTCTTCCAGGGGCACTCTGCAGTTCTTTGGTGGCTGAGCCGTCACTGCTTTGCACAGGCAGACCTAGGGACGTGGTCATCCCTTGTCCATGTCTGTGAGTTTCCCGGTCCTTTCCATCAGCTTCACCTTGTCTTAGAGCAGCTAAATACTGTCAAGAAACAGGAATTCAAAAGCAAGATGTGCATGCAAACCCCAGTCATTGGATTAGGCAGATGAGTTCAGCAAAGGTGATGCCTCTCTGCAGACTGCAGCCTCTTTCATCACACTATAAAATGGGACTGTGCTTGGTCAAGCCATTCTGCATTCCAGAGTTCAAAATCATTTGAATCAACAACTCCTTTTATTTTGGTTTTCTTCTGTAGGTCTTTGAACAAGGATAAAACCTTTAAATCCATTCTGGATTCTCATTGTGCAGTTTTTGTAATGAGGTGTTGAACTGCCCACAGCTGGGATAAACTAGGGTTGTGCATTTTGCACATAGTCAGCACTGGCCTTTGTTCCTGTTCAGAGCTGTCCATGGGCAAGCATTTTTGGAACATCCACCTTAACTATCCTGATCTCAAGTAAAGACTTGCTGGTTATGGGGCATCTCGACAAAAACTGAAAAGCAAATTAGAACAAACTTTCCATTTCCCGGATGAATTTACAGATCCACTGAGTGTGAGGCATGCCAGAACTCTTGGGGATTCCTCATGCCCTTCAGTGATGACTGTAATACCATTTTTTAAATGGTATCTTGCAGACCATGTTATATTTCATGAATATTTAAGTAAGTTACTGAGCATTGCATCATGCACTAGGTGTTTTCAAAAGTTTAGAAGGCATTTTGGCTCATTAATGATGTTTGCTTCCACATCTCTTGCCTTTGGAGATACTTGGCGGTTCATGTTGGTGGAAGTGAAGAACGAAACTGAAGATGATCCATTTGTTTAATTAGCAGCTATAACCCTACAGTATTTATTAATTTCTAATACATGTAATAAGCAGCTTCATTCAGGGAGTAGGTTGTAAAAATTTGATCTAAAGAGTAAAATTTGCAACAGAGGAACTGCTGAATTGCTTCTCGGTGGCGGTGTGTGCGCTCTCTCTTTCCCACCTCTCTCCGCAGCAGGCTCGTGTGCCTCCTGTTTCTGGAGTTGCTGTGCACGGACAACAGGAGAGGGGGACAGAGGTTGAGCAAAGCAGTATGAGGAGTTGAACAGTTTCCTGCTCTCACTGCATTGCTCATTTTTAAGCATGTGCCTTTCTCACGGCCAGATGGAAATAGCAGAGCACCTGATTGTATACTAACCGTACTTGTTCATGGGTGAGGAAGCTAGCTCCTGGGTAGATGGAAGCGCAGAGATACACTTGTCAGAGATAAAAACTTGTTCTACACATACCTAATTTACCTTCACTGAGAAACAACGTGTTTGCAAAACTGAGTGATCTGAATTCATAATGCTAAGTAATTACACCTCTTGGTGGTGTAGGGATTACGAAAACTGTTCAGTCCTGTGGCCTGCCAAGGGAGAATTCTGCCTGAAATGGGAGAGCTGGTAGTCCCGAGATAACAGGGAAGCCTGTTCCGGAGTTGTTCTCCTGGTGTTAAAGAGTCTTGACTGCACTGAAGAATGTGCATTTTTTATGAGGGGGCGGAGGAAAAAGACTTGTTTATCCTGGAGGGAGATGTCACAGCAAGTACAGACTTCTGAGGTGCTTTTATCTGGGGCTGCAGGGTTTCTCAGGCATTCTTTGCCTTTGCAGTGTCAAACATCCCTTGCAATAATCACCTGGCCCTGGAAGCTTTATAATTAATGAAGCTGGAGAGGGGTTTTTTGTGCCTTTGAACTCATGCCTTCGACAGCACTAAAGAATTTCTTACACATTTGCAGGGCCGAGCCAGATACTGTTTTCTGTTTGAAACAAAAATGTGGAAATTTCTTTGCTGTACTTTGGTTTGAACCAGCCTAGCATCCTGAAAGTGTGAAGCTGTTGCAGGCTCTGTCTGTCTTTAGTGTGCTACAGATGTTCTTCTGTGGGTTAGACAGTGCTTTGGGTCACTCTGCACTTTGAGGGGTTACATGAGTCTGTCTGTGCCCGTATACATGTGCATAATTGCAGGTGCTTGTGTTTTGCACAGTGTTGTGTAGGGCAAGGAGGGAATATTCCCTGAGGTCTTGCTAGGTAGGGGGCAATAGTGTATAAACTGGCCTCTCTAGCCCCTTGGAATAATTTTTTTCCCCTCCCTTGCTATCTGGAGACAGAAATAGAGCCTGTGGGGTTAGAGAGAGAGCTTGTGAAAGGGAGTCTTTGCGAGGAGGAGCAGGGACCACATTCATGCTGGCGTCGCCCCGTGCAGAGGCTTTACCGTGGCTGCCCACTGGTTTGCCTGCCTGTCTCTGTGTAAGTGAACATCAGGAGTCTGGTTGCATGAAGGGTGTAAGTAGTTTGGTATCCTTGTCCCTGTTATGTGCAAAAAGTAGTTTTCTTTAGTTCCTAAACTCTCTGGGGTGCCTCCTCATACTCCCATTGGAAGAAGTGATATATTTGACTGGATCAGCTTGACCTGCAAAATGAAAGTTACTGAAATGTGTCCTCCTTGATCTGAAAAATGACATCTAAGAAAAAAAGAATTCTTCTGCTAGGCACCAAAATAAACCAGGCTTGTCTGTGCTTACAGACAAGGCTTGCTTTAGCTTTCAAGATCCTAGGCAATCAAAAAATCCCTGAGTCTTTCTTGCACCTGTGCTGTTCAGTATGAGTTGCTGTCCAGCGAGCAGGTGCCTGCTGGGCTACAAGGCTTGTTACTGCTCCTGCACGGAGGAGCTGCTGCTGCCAGTTTCTAAGGGCAAAGACACTTAGTTGTTTGGGGGAGGACTGAAAACCTACTTCTATGTCATGTATGGAGTGGAGCCTGTTTGTCTCCAAGTGCAAAAAGACGCCAAAGCATTGCTGTACTCCTGGCATCATGGAGTAAGCTTTCTTAGCTTACACGTTGCATTTGTACTTGCAACTTGTGTCTGCAGTAGCTTGCATCCTCACTGAGTTCTGCTGCTTGAATACAGCTCCAGGTACCCTGCACACTCACTCGACTCGCTTAAAATGGGGACTCAAACCTGGCTGCTGGGGAAGAGGGAGTAGTGTAGGAGGGATCGGAGGCAGCGAGCCTGCTGCGGGCGGGGAGCCCGTCGCTATCCCGTGGAACTTCTGCCACCCGGCCGCTGAGGAGGAGGAGAGCGTGGGAATAACCCACGTACTTTGTGTGGGAAACAACAGTAGCTTTTTGAAGAGGAATTCGTATTGTTTGGTCAATGAAATAGAATGCAAAAACGTAACAGGTTTATTTTAAATTCAAGCGCAAACATAATACCTCTTAGTCATGCTAACACTTACGGACACCTGAACTGTTTATGAAAATGCTGCTTGTGGTGAGATTCACTAGAAGACTACCTTTGCCTTGTGCATGTAGGGGTTTTCCAAGAGTAGAGCACCAAACAGTTTTTTACATGATAATAATGTCACTCAGCCTGCTATTCCACATAAACTCGTCAATATTTTAGTTGCAATATTGCATAGACAAGTTGGAGTAAGGAGTGATTTTTGAGTACTTTATTTATATTACTGTAGTTTTAGATACGGAAACACCTATATGCTCAAGATACGATTACAGTGTTAATATTGCAGAAAAAGTGTTTACGATTCAAATACTCTAATATAAAAAGGTAAAAATTATTTTGTTTATTGTATTGAAGAGTCAGTGTAAAAAGTAATTTCGCAGTATCACTTAAATTTGTAAGACAATGAAGTGCACAAGAAAACTTCACGTTCTATCTTCTCCCTAACACTTCTCTCTCCTGGGATGTATTTTGTGACTTCACTAAAGATATAC